CAGTTCATCAATTCCATTTCTGGATTTTACTTCTCCAATGATCACAGTCAAATGGCTTTCAATGGAGGGACTTGGAAACCACTCAAGTCAATCCTGTTGTTACATGTCTAAAGTAAATGAACAAGAGGCAACACAACACGCAAATTTGTCTGTGTGCTTTCAGGAGACAAGCAGGCACCTCATATCAAATCACAGATGTTTGTAATGGCAGGATTTGAAACCAGGTCTGTGACTAAGATGCCATATCTCCTCACATGAGTTGAAACATAAGCAGAAAAGCACATTGAGTCAGTCGTTTCTCCAAAGCCCTTGTCATCCTTCATTGTATTCCTAAATGAGTCATTTTAACGGCACTCTTGATTTCCACCACCAGAACACAGTCTCTGGAACGTCAATGGCAGAAGAGAATTCGCTTTGCAACCAAAAATTGAAAGTGGACCATCAAACGACTGCCAAAAGAAGCAAATATTTCTGCTGCTGTGTCATAAGGGAGAAGGGGATGTTTTGTTAAGATGTCCAATGGCCAAGTTTAAAAGAAGCCAGGAGTGAAAGGTATCCATGCTCTGGGTTTCCTAATGATCATGTTCTAAACAGAGCTCGTCTCCCTAATGAACTCTAATGTAATGCTACAAAACATCTGGATGGAGATCACAGAACATACAAATAGTGTATAGCAGAAGTGAGACGCTCAAATGAAACACATAACATGTCTATGTAATTGCACACTGTATATAGTTGACCTAAGGCCAAATAAAATGGCTTCCGAATGTGTAAACTGGCATTATTCTGTGTTGTTACTCGAGAAAGATAAAAGGCATCGTTTTAGTGTAAAATTGCTATTGCTGAAGCGTTGGCAGAACCAATCTAGTGGAGCGATGCCATTCAAAATAACTTGAAGTACTGCCACTATATTTTCTGTGCTTTCACAGATGGGTTAAAAATAATGAATCAATAAAATAAAGGATCAAGCACATGTTTTTAGATTTTATGAAAACAAGGATTATTTAAATTTATTAATTTAATATTTTTTAAGTAATAGAGGGGGAAAGTGTGCAATTTATCAAAGAATACGTAGAAATGCAAATAAATAGGGCGACAGTGGCAGAGTTGGTGGTTTGATCCTAGGCCCAATCGTTCCATTGTGTCATTTGGCAAAAATTTGTCTACTGTGTAGCGCTTTTGAGGTTTCAAGTGAAAAGGATTAGCACAATGTGGTAATAAAGCCATGATAAATGATTTGTTTTATGAATACACTGTGATCACTGCCTGGAACATCTATGAAACTTTTAAAACTTTGGTTCAATTAAAGAATCAAGAATTCCAGATTGGGCCATTACTGCACATCTTTCCAATGCAAAATTAGATAAACCACATCAACAAGTACATTTGTGTTCTCCCGTTGCTACTAGTTACCACGTTGACATCATGAGTACATTCAGGACCAGTGCTAATGATGCATGATTTGGCCTGTTCTTATTAGCCTTCCTGTCTTCGCCCAAATGTGTAGCATGTGTCCAGTGCTGATTGCTGATGCCCAGAGCGCTCATCCTTCTGGTCCACTGAAACCAGATCACTTCCTGATTTGTCCCTCATTCCATCGCGACTCATTGGCTCCCACCGAGACAGTAGCCGCACTATTGTTTGCTCAACTTCAGAGACAAGAATAAGTTTATGCTGCCTTCGTTTTTTCCCGATGGGCAGATGACAAAAGGACACTTGTTGGACCCTCTTGTCTCCCAGTCATTTCCTTGTTGAGGGTTAAGGGGAGGAGTGGCTCTTTTGACTGTGGCAGCTGACAATCCTGCATTGTGTGACCAGGCACTGCTCCACAAAGGCCTCATTGTGGCAAGTGGTGCCCAGAGAGAGAGATCGAGACTGGGCTAGGTGGCAGAGAGATGAGGGTCCAAAGAGGCCTGAGTCTGGGGGTATAAGATCCACTGGGACTGGTCCAGTTTACAGTGTCTGAAACAAGTACAGTGGTCCCAGTTATAGTTTGGCCTCCCCTCATGCAGTCATTATGTAGGTAGACTTGGTTTACAGTGTTGGAGACTTATAACTAACTTATATTGTTCAATAGTTACATATTTGTGGAGATTTTTGAACTACTGAAAGTTGAGTGCATAGAGACAGGATGATAAACCAACTTTTTCAGGTTAATTCAGCATCATTATTTTTGATAAAATTACTTTGTGGTAGGAGTGGGGGATATAGACAAAATAAAATTATTTTTTTTAGCATTATCTTAAAACACACCTATTATGCAAAGTCATCTTTTCACCATGTTACCCTCTCGAAGTTGTATTTGGAATGATTCGTGCATATTTGAGCAATCTTTCATTACCTATTATCAAGACACAATCCCTGTTTTTACTGCCATCTGCCCACTGTTCTGTACTTACTTCCTTTTCCAGTTTTATTTTCTATTTGTGATACTGGTAGGATTCATCAGCGCTGTGTAGTATGTGTATGCTAAAACATACCTGTAAATGCCTCTACTTTGTGGTGCTGTATGTTTATTTCCTAATAGCACTGTTTTAACATTTTTAACTTAACATTGATATGTTAAAATAAGGTCCCTAGGTAAATATAGGGAGCAAAGGTAGAGTTCTGCATCTTTGATCTCTGTATCTTTGAGCCATTAGCAAAAACTGCATTAGTGACTTTCATAGGCCACCTACTGAGGCTCCAATCTCTTTTCTCTATCCTGCTCTATAATCAAAGCTGTGGTCAGCGATTTATTTCTGCTGGCGGCTTAACCAGCTTGTACAACTCATCCCAGAATTTGAAATATTTCGCTGTTTATCCTGCGTGTGCACTTTGTATACAGAGACAGATGGCCATGCAACTTTTCATCTACATAACTAGTCCTCCCTCCTTCCGCCCGCTTCAATTTTAATCTCTATTCTTATGTCACTGTGAACTGAAGTTCTTGGGCTGACTCCATGTCTGAGATTGACAGGGCTCTCATGACAAGCTGACGCTGCTCTCTCTGGTCAGGCCCTTGCCCAGCTGTCCCGCTTCTATTTGTCATGCCCGGCTGTCGTAGGACCCTCTCACCTCCGTGTTAAGGGCTCTTTGCCGATGGTGCCATTTCAGAGCGCTACAATCCAAACTTCCTCCACTTTGCTAGTTGTTGTGGCCACCTGTCACTACATGCTGCCATCTTGTTCACTTGTTTGTTTTTGTAGTGAAGTAAGAGCCTGTTTTCTCTTTTTGCCGGCATGCCAAAAAGCTGAAAATGAAGACAGAGTTAGCAGTGACAGAGTAAACGGCTTCTTTTCACCCCCTCCTGGAAAGATTACCTCAAATGGTTAACTATTGACTTCTCTAGTGTCCACACAGTTATGTCAGATGTCTGGAGTAACACCATTTCAAGAGTTTTTTTTTACAGTGTGTTACAGGCAATGGCAATTTTGGCTAATAAGTGAATATATATTAATTTTGATTAATTAGAAGTGCTAAGGGGCCTGTAAGTGTGTAGATAGAAGTTCAACTATTGCACCAAAAGTAAATGGCCTGTGAAAATCACTTTATACCATTTTTTGATTGATTGTGGTTGTTTTTCTATTTGAGAAGCCCAAGCCAAGTTTGATTAGAGCCTTTAAGGCATTTTGCTGTGTCAATGGATGATGATATGCCTAAAAGAATGTTTTAAGTAAATACAGCACTATTGAGTACTCCAAGTGTCTAAGTCAATAGTGAACCACATGTAAAAGGCTGATCTAAGTACAAAAAGTTAATTCTGAATGTTGAGATGTAGTAACTCAACAAAGTGCACCATTGTGATGTTTGAGTGGACAAAACTAACTTGTATTCCCTGCAGATGAGGCATGCAGCTCACAAAAGCTTGGTGTGCCTATGTAAACACACATTTACCCATAAGTCATTGTACACAGTGCTGTGTTATAGTCAAAATCCCTCGTTCATGGTTAACAGATGGCATCTATGTCAGAGTGTGCATAGTTGGCTTTACACCTCCAAGCCAGGCAGCATCAGACAGATTAAACTTCACCACTCTCCTGGCTGAACCCATGAACTTGGACTGTTTATAAATGGAACAGACAGTTCTTTTCAGGCTCCACACTATATTACATAGAGGTGGAGACAGGTGTCGTATATATTTACATACAAGTGGGTTTAAACTGAGATGTCTGAAGGAAAAGACTAGTTTAATCGGTAAATACTATGCTTTTTGAATGCATTCGAAAAATGATTAAACTTAACTCCTATGGAGGATTGCATTCATGCAGCTGTACTGATACTGACACTGTGTCTGGTACTATGACAACAAGTTAACCACAAGTTGTGCGTACATTTTTTAAAATCTGGAATAGATGTGGTCGTGATATCATTAACAAGATTCTCAATGTTGTTTCATGCAGTACTGCATGTGGTCATTTAATCATTTCAGATTTGTGTGATATGTGAAACATTTCCAGGCATATCTTCTCACAGACTGCAAGTATCTGTAACATATTGAAATTCACTTCTTTTTATGCAGTGAAGCTTACTGAATAAACTATGTGCGGTGCTCCTGAACTAAAATATTTCCCTTTTAAGCCCTGATATGAACACTATACCAGTGTCACATTGACTCCAGGGGAAAAAGCCATATTCAAAACTGCAGCTGACCCTTCATTGAGGTTGCTACAAATATTTTATGACAACTCTAAAAATGACAGACAGCTATAAACGTCAAATATAAATCACTACCAGCACCCTATAAAAATACCTAAAAAAAAAGTCCTATTTCAGCCTATATAACCATTATATAATACTTCTATGTGTGAGCAAATATTTGACGTAACAAATATGAACGGCACCAGCAGCCTTTTGCACAGCCTGCCGGATAAACGTGGGCTGTGTGAAGCTTGGCACAGAAATAGCTAGTGGGTGGGCAGTGCGCGAAGACAGTCCGACCATGTGCCCAGATAAGCGGCTGCCTCTTCTTCAGTTTGCACTTTTTGATGCATTTTGTTTCTCTTTTCTCTGCCCCACAGCCCAGTACTTTGCCCCAAGGCACCATCAACATGAACCAGTGCTCAGATGTCATCGATGGAGAGTCCAGAACGGGCCAGAAGAACTCTCTCTGCATCCTTACACCAGACAAAGAACATTTTATTCGGGCTGAGTGCAAAGAAATTATAAATGGGTAAGATGCATTATTAATACATGCATACTTGCTGTTGTGTAGTTAATGCTGATGGAAGTACCAGAGCAGATGAGAGGGACTGACGGGTACCTTAACTGTTGGGCAATGATATGGCTCTGAAACTGCTCTGCCCCCTGCTGTCTGTAAGAGGAAGTGCACCCACACAAATCGTATTCCAGTGACTCTGCACATTCCTTGACAGTCTCCTCAAATTCACTTACAGAATTCTACAGGATTTCTATACATAGTTTTTTGTTTTGTTTTGTTTTGTTTTTAGCCAAGACCAATTGTACATATTAATATCTATCACTTATCTAGAAAATATTCAACTTTTAACATCAAATAGAAGAATTCATTGAGGTTATTATAATGCCTGGTGGTTAGACAAGTTGCTTGTCTCCATGGAGATGTTATTGTTATGCCTGGATGGCACTGATCTATCTTGCATTATTCAATTACAATTTTTATTTTTATTGCAAAAAGATATCTTGAACAATATGCATTCTTACTTTGAAGTGGGGTTGCTTCTCCACAAATTTGGCATGTAACTAAGCCATGCTTGTCTCCATGAATCTGGATAAGTTCAATTCAGATTTGGATAAGGATATAAATAATGCCATACTGTGTGTGTGTGTGTTCCAAGCAAAGCAATAACATATTCATGCAAACAAACAAGTGGCTGCCCCTTCAGCAGAAAAGTTACACAGTGTTCCTTGAAAATGCCCTCGTGCTTCTGACCACACATTCTGCTCTTCCATCCCTGGCAGTAGCATCCATGTGGCTATTCTTAGCATACACTGTGACTCACGACACCCACTCTGCCGCTACCTGCTGCATCTCCACACATCTCCGATCATCTGGCCCCGCATGTGTCAGTACAGGCTCTTTCCTCTCCACGATTAGTCCCACTGGAGCACTTGCACTTACCTGAACATTATAGCTTTTTAAATTGTGATGTATGTTTTTATTGAGCATGTTGTTAAAGTGCATTTATTTGTCCAGCACTCCCTCGTCATTAGCAACAAGTCATATGTCTGCTTGGGTTTACTGTACTCAAGCACCCACAGCTGTGATGGATTGGTCTGAAAGGCAGTATGCATTATCTTTGTATGTATCACACATGCTTTTGTGTGGAATCACTCATAGGCCCATTGTTCGCATCTGGATTTTTAAACAGACCACTCTTGAAGTAAGGTGGAGTTGAATGGGGGAGCTGTATTTCTTAAATGACAAATGCACATTTATGAAAGTATTACATAAGCATAGAATGTTTCAGTTGATCATAATTCTGAAGGGGTTGCAAGTAGGGCTGGGCGATATGACAAAAACACTCACAATATTCTTCTCATTTATCGATCTAGACCACATGCTCTTACTGAGAGAGGAGTGGCTGTGGACCTCTCCATGATCTCCAAGATGATCATTGACAATTAGAAATGGTTGAATCTTGATATTGCAAAAAAATATATATATATTTGCACAGCTGTAGTTACCAATTATTCACAAATGACTAATAAAAAAACAGATTAATAAAAAAGACAGTACAGGACTGGGGTAAAATATGTGATAAAAAGATATTGAAATGCATTTGGATCTGCACATACAACGTATGGTTTGTTCAACTTTTACAGGTGGCAGGAAGCTCTGACTGTCTACCCAAGGACCAATAAGCAAAATCAGAAGAAAAAGAGAAAAGTTGATCCTCCAACTCAGCAGGTAAGACATATCCAAATTCTGTTCTTTCCTTTTCCCACGTTGTGAGTATCGCATTACATCATAAAATCATTGAAAGTACTTATGACTCATGACTAGAGCAGTGTTTAGCAATACAGTTTATGCCATAGTTTTTCACTAACACGATGTTTTCTCTTTTGTGGATAGATGTATGATTGACATAATAAACTTATTTGTTAGCTTGAATTGGCGTCTAAAAATACCCACATCTTCCTAACTCAAACTCAACTTAAAGCAGACCTATTATACAAAACTTTTTAAAGCTTTTAACTATGTTATAGTTGTTTTCCCCTCACTAGTTACACTCATGTTACATGTTGTATTTGAAGAGATTCATACATATTTTAGCAATCTATAATTGCTTATTTTCAAGATGCCATGTACGCCCACTTCTTCTTTGTTATTTTTATTTCTTAATCGGTGTTGCACATAGAATTCGGCAGTCATGTAGTCATTTTGGAACAAATGAAAAAAAAAATCCACTGCATGCAAGCATGATGAAACTATCCATCAGAGGTACCAACTTTTGTTGTGATGGAGTTTTACGGCTCCCGTTGGGCAGTACGGTTTCCTAACACAGAAGTAGGCAGACTTGTTTCTTTATATTTCATTTAATCAGTGTCACGATTTAAAATGTCCAAATTATATCATAAAAATCCACATGTCATAGATTATTACTATATAGTACAAAAAAGCACAATATGTGTTCTTTTACAAGATTTGTATTGTTCTGTTAAAATCTTTTTAGTTATGTTTACAAACAGCTACAGCTTTTCATGATGTCATCTTGTCAACTTATTATCAGATCCTATCAGTAAATCCTGACCACCAATCTTGGTGGTCTCTTTGCAGTGTCCTCATTTCAATGATTGTTAGGCTTTTTTGGGTAGTCTGAGGTTCATTGTCCTCTAATGACTGCGCCCTCAAGAGGAGCTAAAACAAGGTGGCTCATTTGTGGTGACAGTGCTGACATCACAGTGACCTGCGTGTCCTTGGCTGTCACCTCGGTCATTTAAATTTGTATTTTTCCTGACATAAGCATCTTTTTCTGTCAAGGTTTATGAGTAACAACATTGTATTGGACATAGCACTGGGCAATATGTTGGTAAAAATCACTCCTGTGAAGATATGCTTTTGGTCATATTGCCATATCGTGACATCTCTGTTTAATGCACCTGTCTTCTCAAACATATTTTCCCACCCATTTTCATATTAGTTAACCTCTGTAAAACTGAGTTAGTGACAGCTGAATTAAAAGGTGGACTGTTTAACTTTTTGGCTGGAGGTCCATCATCTGCTTGTTTCTATGAATATGTCACTGCTCTGCCTGCAGTGTTCCACAGTATGACATTAAACTGCTGTACTTTATATTTATTAAATTACAGGTGATTTTAAAGTACACGTGAAACATCATGGTATTGAAAATGTAATCTGGCTCCAAGTAAATCATAAAAAAAAAATATATATATATATATATATATTTTATATATATATATATATATATATATATATATATATGCATCTATACTGGAATGACTGCAATAGCTGTTATTATCCTATTGGCTCTATTGGCTAATGTATATGCGGATGAAGATTTGATTTGAAATGATTATAGTCCGATACTCAGGCTACCTCATATTTTCCACTTCTGTCAAGACCACATTGAGCTGTCCTCCTACTTTTACTTATCCATAGAGACATAAGCTTGGAAACTCTTCCAACTGCCCATTTGGGTACAGAAGCATATGTTTGCATTTTGGGCAGTGCCTTTAAACTTAACCATGTGATGAAGAATGACAACAAAATTACGTGACAGGATCATTCTGTCTCATTGCAAATAAGCTGAATTTTCAACAGAGAGCACTGAACTGAGTGCTGAACTTTGTAGCTTCAGTGAACTATGAAATGATATGTACATTTCCACAACCGTTATTTTTACGTATTCTTCATCAATAGCAGACATTGACATCATAGATTTTCTGTGATTGGCAGGATGGACTAACGCCAAGCCAGTGTTTTTCCATTGAAGACATGAATGGACATCCAGTGAGTTCAGCTCAGCCCAGCCTTTATTTTAATCCTGTTTCAACCTTACACTTTGAACCCCTCACTTTAAGAATACATTTTATTATAAGAGTTATTAATCCAGGTGAAGGGTGGCTGAAAAAAAAGTAGTGTTGGCTTTATTGTGAAAATCAGATACCACCAAACGCATGTTTGTATGCCCTTGCGTGGCTGGAGAGTTCATGTGAGTTGCTTTTCATTGGAAATTTTCCTTCTGTTCCTTCAGGCTTGAATAATCTTGGGTTGTGCTTGGTGTGTAATGGACTATGATTTTATAACAAAATCCCTTGTTTTTCTAATAATCATATGATCCAAATTCATTAAAGGAAGAGCAGATTTTCAAAGATTTCAAGATTAACCACTCTGTTTGTTGCTTGTAATATGATCAGAAATTAAATTTCCAGTCATGAAAATTGAATATAATTTCAAATTAAATCTTTTTTCTTGATTCAATTTCCTTTTTGTAGCCCTCCTCTGTTCTCACCTCCCATTGTGTCCTCCCCTCTTCTCATGCATTTGTCCTGACACAAACCCAAACCCCTGTCCAGGAGCCAGGCCCAGCAAAAGTAACAGTGACCAGCAGCAGTGGGGGTAGTGTCCCGTGTGTGCCCAGCAGCATAGCCTGTGCGGAGCGTGTCCCAACCAGTCGCGCCTCTTTGTGGCAGGAGGAGAGCCGCTGGGGCCGGACCACCATCCCCTGCAGCCGCAGTGCTTCCTGCATCAGTCAGCTGAGCCAGAGTCAGCCAGAGCCTAGGACCACCACTCAGGACGGTGGGCACACTCACAAAACATGTAGCACATGTGGGGACTGTGACTAACACTGGCTATGTGTGTTTTAGATGCAGGTACAGTCAACACTGGGCGCAAGGTACGAGTGGAGAGCGGCTACTTCTCACTGGAGAAAACCAAATCTGAGCCCTGTCCTCCGCCTCCTCAGAACCTGCCCCTGTCTTCATCAGCGTCCTCTTCCTCTTTAGGAGCTATCAGCCCCAGGTACTACTCTGAGCCAGACCCACTGGCGTCCCCAAACCAACCCTCCCAAGACCCTCTCCCTTCTCCAAGTGCTCTAGTTTCCCCTAGCTACTCGACCATCAGTTCCTCTCAGAGTTCCCTGGACTCTGAGCCCAGCAGCAGCGCCCCCATGTGGGATGGGCGCACTGGTGCGGTTAGCAGTGGGACAGGCAGAGTGGGCAGAGCTGGCAGAGAGTATGCTGTACTGTCAGACGTGCCCCGGGCGCGGAGGCTCACCTACAGGGAGGCTTTCCGCTCTGACCGAAAGCAGCAGGAGATCAGGGCGCGCACTCGAAGCCCCGGCAGAGAGGAAGTGGCCCGACTGTTTGGGGAGGAGCGCAGGTATGGGGCCAGCCACAACCAGTTGGTGATAGAGGGATTTGGGTTAAGGTCATTCATTTCTAATCATTAATAAGCCACTGGTTGTAAACTTATGACAATTTACTTTAAGTCTGAATAAAGTAGAATTTGCTGTTAAAGACACTGAAGTTGTTCCCTACTTTAGTCTACCAGTGGTTTACCATAATGATTCCTAATTATAAGTTGCACGTGTTACTTTAATACTGCTGACCTCTCCTTTATGCTTGCGACTTTGCTAGCGGTTTTATCATTCTGTTTTTTTCCAGGAGCTTCTGAAAGGAGCTTCTCTGAGCTTTCCCAACCCTTCTACCTTGTCCCACTGCTGCCCCCTGCTGGTCATCGCTGACTCCTGCTTTCTTTCATTTCATCTCTGCGCTGCCTGGGACAGACCATTGAGCATTATTATCAATAGTTGACCATTTTGTGTTTTAAAATATTCATATGATCTGGTAAAACCTCAGTACTGTAAGGTAACACACATTGTATTGCCATACTTTAATCCATCATATGACCATTTCCCGTCAAGATTTCGACCTTTCATCATATAACTCTGCTCCTTAAATATTAACTTTGGTGTGTGGGTTTTTCTTTTTAAAAAATAATAATAATGCATATTTGTTTATGATAAGACTTAAAATGCTACATTGTGTTTTTTGCCTGTTTTATTGTATGCTGTCAAATGATGCTTTGAGCTAAATTTATTTAAGGCAGTCTTGCAAGGCATTATTTAAAGGGGAAATTATACATTCGTTAATTGATAGTCTTAATGATTTTTATATAGTTCTATTATTTGTGTTTTCAAGGCGAATCATTGAACATTTTGAAGAATGTCAACAAGTGGAATGTATGGACACCAGCAGCTCCAATGACCCATCCACCACCTCCCTAAACCAGAGACAAGGCCGCAGTGAAAGACGCCTTCTAGTCAACAAACATGTATGCATATACTAACTATACAGTCACTGCTAAATACCTAATATTAAGCATTATTTTAAAGTTTTTTTTTTTTCCAGGATTTGTCTCTTGATGCTGGAAAAGATCGTTCAGGGCCTGATGTGTCCAACTCAACTTATGCCAATTTAAGAAGGGCAAAGTCACTGGATCGCAGAGTCACTGAGTCATCTATGACAGTAAGTTTGAAGTCAAGAAGAATCCAATCTCATTTCCCATAAAATCTATAAGCTTGGTTTATATATGCATATATATGGTAATACGTAACTACTTTGTAATAGCCTTAATAGAGCATTTACCAAAACTTAATTCATAATGAACAAATTTAGAAAAAAAATGTAGACTTAGTAACCCTTTAATTAAGTTGTTGCTAAACCTGAATGACTATTTACTCATTATCAGTTAAGTCTTTGTTCATTCTTCACCTAAATGAAAGTGGTGGTGTTATTTGTAAGGATATAGGAAGTTATTTCAGCTGACTTGAGATCAGCTTGACAGGCCCTATGGTGAGTATTTGGTTGGTGCAGCTGCCTTAACCCCCTCCCACTGCACATACAGACACACATACAAACACACACACACACAGATACACAGATACACACACACCGACACACACACACCAGTAGCAGCAGTAGTGTTACGACTGATTATAAATAGGCGCACAGAGGCGGCCGCAGTGGTGTGTATATCTCCCAGAGCAGTTCCTGATTGTCAGCGTAAGAAGTGAAGGCAGGTTAACCATCGCAATGACCCTGTGCCAAACCGTGACGCCCCTCCGCATGAAGCTGAACAAAACTAAGGTATTTGGGAACGTGTAGGATTTTTGGGTAAATGGTAGAGTTTGGAGTCTATAAACAGACTGGGGGGCTTGGTTTCAGAGTGCAGCAGTTTGTGTTTCAGTGTCAGCCCCAGCTCCCGCCAGTCGGTCTCTACAGCCGGGAGCATGAGAGTTCAGGGATGTGTTGTCTTAGGCTGTGTTCACACTTGCCATTATTTGGCATTGATTTTGAGTCCATTTTAATCCTGATTTGACTTGGCTTTGTAGTGTTTTTGTCTTGGTTAATTCCCAGGCTACTCCAGGTTTGTTTTCAGGTTTAGACCGTTTTTATGTGCTCTATGTGAAACTGTGATTGTATCCTTATTGTAAAGTGCTTCCATTCATTAAGACATGGCAGGTATTTGAGCAAGGCAAGAATTGCTACACTGGTATTTTTATTGATGTGATGTTCGATACAGTCAAAAAAGAATTTTTTTGTGATTTGTATCAAGGCTAATATGCAAACAGTGAGATGAGGCTTTCATATTTTGATACTACAAAAAGCTTGATACTTGATACCATAGTGATCAAAACACTATTTAGACAATAGGCAGGGTTTACTGTCCATTGGGTTAAATTCCATCAGTAACCTGATAAACACGTCACCCTGTTTAATGCAAAACTTGTTGATTGTTTTGTGTGTATTTAAATGCGTTGATTGATTTTATTTGTTTTTCCCCTTCTTCAGCCAGATCTGCTGAACTTCAAAAAAGGGTGGATGACAAAGCTGTATGAAGATGGAGTGGTAATAAGCCTGTTACTTATTAAAAAGTAAAAAAATATAAGTGTGCATATTCTAAATGTGAATGTGTTTGTCTTGTAGTGGAAGAAACACTGGTTTGTTCTCACGGATCAGAGTTTGAGGTACTACAAGGACTCCATTGCTGAGGAGGTAAGTTGATTTTGTGTGGAGTGATTTTGATTGTATTAACTAACCGTAACACTGCATTTTGTGATTTGCCTTTCCTAGGCTTCAGAGATGGATGGTGAGATTGATCTGTCCACATGTTATGATGTCAAAGAGTTCCCGGTGCAGAGGAATTACGGTTTCCAAATCTTGGTGGGTGCTGCTGATTCTTCACGTCAACAAACACATGGTCACATTTATCACACATAAAGGTGAAACTCATTGTCTGCACTGCCCTGAGCTGATGTCTGCTGCCAGGACACAAATAGCTATAGACAACAAGCGCTGCAACGTTGAGTATCAGGTTTTGGCATTTCTCTTTTTGAAACCATTCTTTGCCTGTCATGAAGGATGTCACTGCCTTGTCATCCTGAAGGTCTAACCTCATGATCTGGTCTAAATCTGCTCCAGCTGGTTCCTGTCTCCGAGTTGCTGTTCCATACAGCATGTTTGCCCTTGCGTTTACTCAATAACACTCGTATATCAAGACAGATTAGCACTGCATTATAAGAGCTTCTTAGCCTCATCCTTAATGTGGATATGCCCCTTCATGTAATCAGTGGGTCATTAAACACTTTTAGAGCTTGTTGCTGGCACAATTCTGGACACATATAGATGCTTGCAATGTCAACATTATTCATTTGGTGTCATCAGGGGTTTGCTCTTGGCTACATATAGATTTCAGTCCTGCCAGTCAGATCCAGTCTAGATGAAGAGTATACTAGACACAAGGTCAGTCCCTTTGTTTACATTCACTCACAAAAGCATCCCCGGTGTTTCTAAAGGTGTCCGATATAGTTGCGGATGGGCTGGCTCTTTGGCTGTGAACTGCATGGGTTTGATGACCAGAAATGAATAACTGCAGTATTTATATCTGCTCTGGCTCTGGTGCAGACCGGGTGGAGCTGTTGTTTTGTCATTTGCAGAGCAAACTGAAGAATGTTTGATCCGTACCATGGCCTTTAAATGTTTGAATGTTTGAAATGTAAATGGCCTTCAAATGATGACAATTTTGCCAGATTATTCTGAAATTTTACCTCACACACAAACAATTACTCAGTTCTATTTCTTGCAGTTATATTGTAAATTGAATAATCATGATTATCAATTAACCATATAATATTGGCATCCCTTATCACCACAGAATACACATGTGAAGTATTTTACTTGCGCTCTAAATCTATATAGTTTCACATATCACCAATGAGAAAAGAAAGATACCCTCTGTATCACATTTATCTGATGTTGTGACATTTAGAGTGTAACAGTATTTACTTGGTGTTAATGCTCTTTACACAGTGAGAACCTCACTACACCAGTCTGTCATCACTACACACTGGACTATATAGGAATTCATTTCTCTGTCATGGGGCCCTTATAAATCTGTCAACAAATAGAAACTGTCACACTAAGTAGATATTAATAATTTTGTCTGACTTTTAAAAAGCATCCATTCTTCGCTAACATGTCAGAACAGTATTTTAAGCTGCCCAGTATCTCACCCTTGTCATGCTTGTGTGTTTGCAGTGTAAAGAGGGAGCATGCACCCTGTCAGCGATGACCTCTGGAATCCGTCGCAACTGGATTCAGGCCATCATGAAGAATGTGCGACCCACAATCGCCCCTGACGTCACTCGGTAATACTCAAAGAGGATCAACTGAACTCAGCCACTGCCACAGACAAATAATGCACTTTTAAACAGCATCTCACTAAATTCTCTCCTCCGCTACCCCTCTTTCTTCCTCCTATATTCTCAACCTGCTTCCAGGAAAAACGTCTCTCTGAAACTGTCCGTGTTGAAGCCCAGGTTGGATTGCTTGTGTGTTGTATCTCCCGTTCCTCAAACAGTGATGTCATGGCTCAGCTATGTCCGCGTGTTTCTTGTCCTTCTCCGTGTCATGTGATCGTTGAGTAATGTCTCCTTGTGAGCTGTGCCAGACACGCTTAGAAATGTTCAGATTTCAGCACTACAGCAATTTATCATCAATGAAGACAGCAAATATTATAAACAATCAGGTGCCGTTTTAGTTAGAAGAATAATCAACTACACACATTAAATTAAGAAGAAATTATCAGGTTAATATCAAACTTTCTTTATAGCTTAATTTACAATGTTTCACAAATTTGTACTGCTTTTACATTAATTCTTTACTAACACATATAACTACAGTATATGACATTTTCCTATAGCTAAAATATTAAGTCTTATAGTGGGATGTTCTGAAGTATTGCTGGTTTATATGTGTGACTGAGCCAACCTTTACAATGCCAGATTTTTTATATGAATATGAACTACATCACTATGTATTTGGACTGACGCTGATTCATAGCTATTTGCAAAATCATCATCGTAGCTATTTGCAAAATCATGCTTTCTTCCTTAGAAACAGTCCTGTTTAAAGTTGTTCACAGTCTTCATTCCGAACGGGAATGTGTGATATTCCTTGCATTCCTGTTGGACATCTCACAGACAGCTCTCTGTCATTTTTGAGGCCTGTCCCTTCTCATTTTCCCCTTACTCACTGACTGATACCTCACCACAGACACTGTTGGTCGAGGTCACCTTTTTAAAACTTGCTGTGCTGCTTTACAGTAAAAGTGACAACTTAACTGCAAACATATTCTCACATGGAGCGTGGTTAGTAATAGCACAAATAAAGTGAAAGCAGGCATCTGACATAGGCTTATCTTTGAGTATTCTTGTAAATGCCATTGCTGCTTTAGCTCTGTGCACATGCTGCCTAAAGTGTCTAAGTGTCAATGCTTGATGATTTTTTTCATTGCCACAACTATTACGTGTAGTCATGTCACACTTGTCGCTTTCTGATTTTAGAATGGGATGTTGTCATACTTTCATGTGGAAGTGTAGTCAAGTTTTTGAATCAGTGATTTCATATTTTAATATGATTTTTAAAATTAATTTTAATTTTAACAACAGTCGGCTTATTAACCAGACCTGGTTCTGAATTTGGGTGAATAGGCTACTACTACGAAGGCAGTAGATTTGATTGAGTGAGCAAGAAACTAATATAGTACCCTTGTACAGCATGCCCTGTTATTATCTGTAGATATTACATACCTTGCCCCATTTCATATATCACTGCTGATAACAAATAACAGAGACATTGTGACCTCTGAAACCTCCAAAACTCAACTTATTCTTGTTATAACAGTTCTAATGTTCTAATTTTTTTTTTTTGTAGATCCCTCCCAGAAGACAATTTAAAAGTGATGCTTGAGCCATGTTCACAATCAAATTCTGAACAAAGTCCAAATTCAGAAACCCCTAAATCAGACATTAACAATCAGAACAGCTCCAACAATTCCACCACGCCTCCCTCAGAACCACGCAAAAGCCGGGTAAGGGAACGCAGGCGAGAAGGCCGATCCAAGACGTATGACTGGACAGAATTCAAAATGGAGAAGCCAGAAAAGCCCCCAAAGGAACGTGCCGACACAGTGGACCTCAGCTCGTCTTTTTCTCCCAATTCCTCCTATAGTTCTTCTTCCACCCCTTCATCTATTGCGTCCTCTCCAGCCTCTACCTCTTCCCAACCACAGTCCACATCAGAGGACAGAGTTTCTACAATGCATTCGTCAACTACCTACACTGTTAGTATTGCATCTACAACAAATTCTAGTCCTCCTGTGCGTGAGAGCCAAGACCAAGGCAAAATGGAAATAGATCATCCTTCAAATAAAGACAGAAGGGACAGTAAAACTTCAGGTGTGCAAGAGGAGATTGAACAGCGATGGCATCAAGTAGAGACCACCCCTTTAAGAGAAGAGAAACAAGTGCCCATCACCACAGCTTTAGCAGTATCTAGTAACTCAGACCGGTTACCTCCCCATGAGCTGGCTGAGCTGCTTGACAAAGAGGTAAATTGAAACAAGTATTTATTGATTGTGGATATTTGAATTGTTGCTGTATTTAAAGGGATATAATTTGTAATATTGACTTGATGTTATAATGGTATTCCCTCATTATAAATTTAATCTGAATGAATATGAATCTAACTCTCTCATATAGATTCAGATTTCTGTTTTCATCTATCCCCGCCCACTACTTTGAAATTATTTGTGATTACTCAAAATTTCAGACTCCAGGCTATGTGAGATTTAAAAATGTCACATAGCCATATGTCAACATTAAAAACAAGTGAAGTAAGTGAAATGTTAGTGTGGGAGGTTAGGGCCTATCAGTTCTGGAGTTTTGAACAGGACATATTTATGTTAAATAATTATAACTAATTACTTGGAAATAAAAGCATAATATGTTTTTTGTTTATTTTAGTTGGGACAGAAACAGAAGGAGCTAGACCAACTTCAGAAGCAGAACAGTCTTTTGAAAGAGCAGTTGGAGGATGCACTGGGACGAGAGCAGAGCGCCAGAGAGGGCTATGTGTTGCAGGTATGTCCACACTAACAGAAATATGAGCTTTTACATATTGACTTACAGTCATGTTGTACATACTGCGTTTCACTAACTGGTGTTGGTGCTTCTCTGACACTGATATGCATGGTTGTGGTGTGCATGAGATTTGGACTAACTGTTGTTACGGAGGCTCACATCTCTTGGGTAAATACTATTTTACAGATTTGTGGCTTGTGGTACATTACTGACTGAGGAGCTTTGCACTGTGCTTTTTCTCTCTGTCTGTCTGTGCTGCCATTGTGTGTCTTTTGCAAACCTGATTCTGCATGTTAAACAGATTTGGCCAACTCCATGATACATATGTGTAATGAAGGATTTCACTGAATTACATTGTGTTTGTTTGTATTTGACTTTGTGTACACAATCCCATTTGTTTTCTCATGTCAGTTTAAGTTTGTGTTTGTAATTATATTCACTTCAAAATGAAAAAGCACAGTGGAATGGTTCTTGGATTTCAAAGCCTTTAAGGGAGTACATTGACAGGGAGCTCCAGAGATGTGGTTCTCTGTACTGTAAGAGATGAGGTGTTGTATTACTAAAACTCTCTCATCAATCTCTTCCAAGAGTGCCACACCCCCTTCCTCATCACCACATCGAGTGCCCTGGCAGCGTTTACACAGACTAAACCAAGATTTACAAGGAGAGCTGGAGACCCAAAAACGCAAACAGGACCTAGCTCAGCAGCAGATCCGGACATTAAAGAGAAGTTACACTGAAGCCCAGGAGGCCGTAGACCGCCATGAGACTGATATTCAGGCTTTTCAGGCCAAACTTGCTTCTGCTATGGCAGAAATCTTAGCTAGTGAACAAGCTGTGGCCCGAATGCGCAATGAGCTCAAACTAGAACAAGAACGCTCCAAGGAACAAGAGGAGGAACACAACCGCAGTGAGGCCACTCTAAGAGCTCAGCTGAAGGACAGTGAAGATCGTCTGAGACAAGTGGAGGCAACTCTGTTAGAACGCAGCCAGGCTCTCAGGCACTTGGAGCGGCAGCAGGCGCTGCAGAGGGACCACCTGAGAGAGATTCAAAGACTACAGGAGAGACTACAGGAAGTGACTGCACGACTTAGTGCTACAGAGGAGGGCCAGGCTCTGAAAGAAGAGCGTCTAAAGACAGAGCAGCAAAGCCTTAAAGAGGCTCATGAGAGAGAGCGGCAGAGTTTATGTCGACGACTGGCTGAAGCCGAAAGCACACAGAAAGATTTAGAGGAGAGACTGCTTGAGGCAGAGCAGCAGGTAGAAGCTCTACTGTGTGGAAGACAGAGCTCTGCAGGACAAGAAGAACAAATACAGAAGCTCAAAGAAGAGCTGAGCCAGAAGAGCAGCATAGTGGAGTCTCTGAGAGAGAGTGTGCATCAACTTGAGGAGGAGAAAGGGCATCTGACATGTCGGTGCCAAGAGCTCCTCAACCAGATTGCAGAGGCAGACCGCGAAGTGAACAAGCTCCACGGACGACTGCAGGCAGAGGAGGCAGAGTACAACTCCCTAGAGCATTCATATGAGAGGGCCACGGAGGAGTTTCAGAAAATGAGCCAGTTCCTCCGTGAGAAGGAGCAAGAGATCTTCCAGACAAAAGAAATGTATGAGCGACTGGTGGAGCGTAAAGAGGAAGACCTAAAGGAGGCCTTTGTCAAAATGACTGCACTGGGAAATAGTCTAGAGGAAACGGAGCAGAAGTTACAAGCAAAGGAGGAACTTCTCTGTCAGATGAGTCAGAGACTCTTGGAGCCCTGCAATGCTGAAAAAGACCTGCAAGCTCAGCTTGTTATTGCAGAGGACCGGATTGCAGAGCTGGAGCAACACCTCCATGCCCTACAGCTGGGCTACGCTGGTCTTCACTCTGAGAGACAGACCAGTCCTGAACAGTGCAGCCAGGAGTCTGTAGTGTCTAATGCATCCCCCACACACACCCCTTCAGAGGAGTCTCAAGCTAAAAGACCAAGGATACGCTTTTCAAACATCCAGTGCCAAAAATACACCAGTGTAGAAGAGTCAGAAACACCACTTGACACAACACAGAAAGTCCATTTATCTGAAGGAAATATTTCCTCTGATTTCTCATTCCCTCACACAAGTGACCCAGAGAAGTTTATCTCTATAATACATGCCCTAGAGTCCAAACTCCTTGCTACTGAAGATAAGCTAAGAAATCTCACACAAAACCTTGATCGATCAACCAAAGATGAAGACATGTCCAAAACTGACATAGGACTACGTGAAAATACTTTTTGCATTGAAGGTGAAGGGAGCATTGAGGGCATTTCTATAAATAAACACTATGCTAACGCTCTTGTGTGTATTGAAAACTGCCGGCAGAAAGTGCGGGGCATTCTCAGTGGCTTTCATCAAACCACTGACTCTCAGCTGCAGTCACTTTCTCTAATAGAGAGTGACTTGTTCAATGCATCACTTTGTATCCAACAAGCACAACACACTGAGCAGTCTGCTGTGGTGGAGCCACACCACCCTCCGGATGCTCTAGATAAAGATGCAATGCTGCTTTTTGCCAAAACCCTGGCTTTTGAGGCTGCGGTTTTAAACAAGATGGCATTACTACTACAGACTTCTAAAGCTGACCTTTCACAAGCTCTGAGTAAAATATGGGGAGATCTGGAGAACATTAAAAACAGTGATAAAGATAGTTTGGCAATAGTTTACGCTGATATGCTGACAAAAAAGCTAATGCTAGAGAGTGCTTTTTGGAAGGACATGGAGAGGGCTGAATGCCAGTTTGAGTCTATAGAGGACACAAAACAGGGCAGTGTTTCAGACATGGATACTGGTCCTATTTTTAACACTTTTATAAAAGCTGAACTTGCCTACTCTATTCAAAACATCAAAATGTCTTATGTTGAGAAATTTAGAATTCTTAAAAGGGAGTTAGCTGAAGCCTATAAGAATTTGCATCAAAGGGAAATGGCGTTGAAAACAATTATTGAAGCTTCTAAAAGTCCAGACTTGAAAAATGTCATCAAGGAAATTAAAAAGAGCTTAGGCCTTAGCAAACACAAGCTGGCTGATATCCGCCCTCCAGAACTGGCCCCTTACATGGAGCAGATAGAGATGGAGGAAGCAAGAAATATGGCAGATGAGATTATTGATAGAAACTTACCTGAAGATATCCTTGCATGTGGAGTTGAGTCTATCCAGTCACTAGAAAATGCACACGAGATTCTAGCCAGTGAATTACAGAGACAGGCAGCTATCCTTCAAAAATATGCTCAAGAATTAGAAAGTGGAGACAACCATCCAGAGCTGGCTAAAATGATCCATGCACTTTTAGGAAGGCAGACCTCTCATCAGCTGACCAGTACTTCCTTGTGTATGCGTGAAGCCCTCATTCAGAGTCAAGTGGCATATGTGGCGTGCAGGTTGCGGGCCATGCATGAACAAGACCTGAGCTGGTACAAGCAGGCCAGTCACAACATGGATGCTCTAGTCCAGCAACACGCACAAAACGTCAGCGCAATCCAGCAGAAGTACGAGGCCTCCATCGAAGAGCATCAGCAGAACTTCTCGCAAAGAGTGGAGAGCCTTGAAAATGAAAACCAAACACTCAAAATTAAGATTGGCAAACAAGTAAGGGAACTTTCTCATCAGCAGGAGCAACTGGTAATGTTAGAAGAACATTTTCAGAAAGAGGCTGAGAAGCTGAGGAGGAGGCACAAGCAGGAGTTAGAGAGCATGGAAGAAGAGCGAGTGTTTACGGTGGAGGAGCTAATGGAGACTACAGCAGACAGTCGGAAGAAATTAGAGGAACAGCACCAGAGCCAAGTCAAAATGCTAGAGGATCAGTTTGAGCTGAGGATATGTGAACTCCAGCATCTGCACAGAGACGAGATGATGAAACTACAGCAACAGTGTTCAGAGGACAGTAGGTCTCCACATGGCATGGGTGATCTGACAGGAGAGGGGCAGAGGAAGGGGGAGGACCACACCACATCAGAGGTGGTCTCCATGATGGTTCTGAAGGAGCGCATTCAAGAGCTGGAGAACCAGATGGACAGCATGAGGGATGAACTGGAGAACAAGAGCCTGGATGGAGACATGGCCAGCCTCAGAGAGAAATACCAGAGGGACTTTGAGAGTTTGAAGGTTCTGATCTTTTACTTTGTTATAGTTCACCTCTGTAGTCTGCAGGAGAGTAGTGTTAGAAATGTAAGTCAGCACTGCTTTAGCTTCATTCTACTGAAAATCACAACAGATGATGTAAAAATGGCGTGTTTTTCATAATGCACGTTTAAAATGCTTACTATTTGATCTGTGTTGACATTTCTATTAGAGAAAGCAGAGTAACTTTCTAATTTTCTTACTAACTTAGCCTTGCTCCAAATTGTACACATGCATGCTTTTAATATATTTTCTGCATACTTTTTTTATTTTTTTTTTCAGAAATTCACATCTTCTTTGTCATAGTATAGAGATTTTGGTAATATGGCAGACTGATGGCTCTTGTATCTGTAGGCAACATGTGAACGAGGCTTCGCTGCGATGGAAGAAACTCACCAGAAAGTCATCGAAGACATCCAAAGGCAACATCAGAGGGAGATTTCCAAACTTATGGAGGAGAGAGAGAGGCTGCTGGCCGAGGAGACTGCTGCCACTATTGCTGGTAAACTTTTTTTGGCTTGTTACACCATGATTATCGTTATACCTCCAAACATATGCAAACAAACACACATCCACTATTGTTAACATATACTAGTAGTTGAAACATGGATGATTTTTTTTTCAGCTATTGAAGCTATGAAGAATGCACATAAGGAGGAACTGGAGAAAACCCAGCGCTCTCAGCTTAGTGGACTGAACTCAGACATTGATGAACTTCGCATTCAATATGAGTAAGAAAAACATATATGTGTGCTAATCTCTCAGTCAGCCAGGCATTTTGAAACCTTTGTTATTTTTACACTTTGCAAACGCGAGATATTTGTCCACAGGGAGGAGCTGCAGTCCATCCACAGGGAGCTGGAGGTGCTGTCAGAGCAGTACTCTCAGAAGTGTCTGGAAAACGCTCACTTGGCTCAGGCGCTGGAGGCCGAGAGGCAGGCCCTCAGGCAGTGTCAGCGAGAGAACCAGGAGCTCAATGCCCACAACCAGGTCCCACATATGACTTAAACAAATATATTTAATAATTTTATTCAAATAATTTAAAACAAAACCTCTCTGCGGACAGGAACTGAATAACAGACTGACTGTAGAGATCACCCGTATGCGCTCATGTCTTAGTGGAGAAACTGCAATGTCACCTGTTACCCAAGGCAAAGATGTCTATGAACTAGAGGTATGCATGTTCACATAGTACTGAATGAATATACAAGTGTTTAAGACCTGGTATTATTAAATGTCTGTCTACAGGTTTTACTCAGAATCAAGGAGTCAGAGATCCAGTATCTAAAACAGGAGATCCACTCCCTAAAAGATGAGCTGCAGTCTGCTTTAAGGGTAAGATGCATGGGAGAACACATTTTGTATTCTGTAAACAGAAACAGGACATCCCATCACCCAGTACTACTTTTTTTCTACTCTGCAGGACAAAAAATACGCTACAGACAAGTATAAGGACATCTACACAGAGCTAAGTATAGTAAAAGCAAAGGCAGACTGCGACATTAGTAAACTGAAGGAGAAGTTACTGATGGCGACAGAGGCTTTGGGAGAGAGGAGCGTGGATGGATCTGTCACATCTGGATATGGTCAGTTTCTTGAAAATAAATTATTTCATGAATTAAATTTCACATTTATACAATTTTTGTTGTTGTAGACATTATGAAATCCAAAAGCAATCCGGATTTCATGAAAAAAGAACAATCAGCCACAGCTAAGCCATCCAGAGGCTTAAGGTCTAAGGTCAGTTGATAGAAATTTATTTGAATATTATTTATGTTGTCTGGTTTTGTTGTTTATCAATGTTGAAAGAGTTGTCAAAGTATGTCATTTGTTTTTTTTTGTCGGGTCAGTCTGTCACTGAACAGGTCTCATGGGACAGCTGACATCCTCCAAGCCCTGTCCTCTGTAGGTACAGCATGGTAAAGAGTACAGCATGTCCCACCTCAATGCATGGGCTCCATTCACATAATAACCACTCTTTTCTGCCCTTAAATGCACTTCCTGTTTCTAGTTGCACCTCATTGGCACAACTATTGAAAAGAGTATGAGCAGACGGTCACGCCATTGTACCAAGTGTGTTGTTAACCTAGTTAGAACTTTTTTAACATACTGAAAGATTTCCATTGCTTCATTCTATGTTGAATTTGTCTTCTCTACCATCTTCCAGTGTTAACCTGTCTTTGGTTGAATGTGTTGTGCAAACAATGAAAAAATAAGTACTGTACTTGGCTATATGCGACATTGTGATTAACATAGCATGTTCTTTTGTTTTAATTCAGCACTTTTAACTTGCTGTTTATGATTTGTTTTAACTACTTTCAACTTACAGCTTGGGACCTGACTAAAATATACTACTACTACTGATATGATTATATAATAAACCTCGTGGAACTATTGTCTGATACTGTAGTTTAGTGTAATACTCTGATGTTTTTTGTGTAAACTATATGTGTGGTGTGTGAGGACTTTTAATGTTGCTCTTACCACAGCTTATCTTTGTCCCCAGAGTCTGAAAGAAGGACTGACAGTGCAGGAGCGCATGAAGCTTTTTGAAGCAAAAGATTCCAAAAAAATCTGAGCAAAATGTTGTCAAGATTTTTGGTCTTCACTGGTTTTGGTCCGACTTGTGCCACACCCAGCCTCGGCTTCAGACTGCATTGAGATCACCTAAACCTGGACGTGCTGCTTTGTTGCCTCTGATAATTTTTAAATATTATTATTATTATTATTATTATTATTATTAATGAATAATAGTTTTATTGATCAATCCTGTGTAAAGGTTATTTTAAACCAAGGTTTAAGATAGTCAGTGTCATATAAGCTGTGAGAGAATTGCATAGCAGCTTTTTATTTATCCTTTCAAATGCCAAAATAGACAGCAATACCCATTATGAATAATATATATTTCCCAATATGACTTAATTACCTGCTGTATTTTATCATTGTCACAGTTCCTATGTACAAGACTTTACATGTGTCTAATGTTGCACCAGTTGTGTTGTACATAACTACTGGGTATATGTAAGGTTCTCTATCTAATGGTTGGGCATCTGCTGTAATAATGTGGTCTGAGTGATACAATGTGATGCTTGCATTGCTTTTGAGTGAGAGTTTATAGGACGGTGTGTTTGTGTGAGGATGAACAGGAGTGGGATTGCACTTATCACTTGACTACTTGAGGAAACGTTTCTGTCAAATTGTGGATGTAGTGGTATTTGGTTTATTGCAGTGCAACCAAACATCCTGGCTCCTGTAAAAGGAATAGAACAACATGAACTGTTAGTGGTACTGGATTTTCTCAGTGTTTCTTTCTGACATGAAATTGTGTTTGTTAGTTTTTGGCTTTGATGTGATTCAAACACCTCAAAGTGCATAAATAGGACTTGCATGAGTTGTACAGTATAACTTTAATTGCAGACTGATCATGTTGCCTCTTCACCCTCCTTTGTGCTCCAGAGTGGTCCTCTTAACACTAATAAGCTTTGCTTTGCAACTTCTACTGTTTTGGTGTAATGATTTACTGTAAGCGTCAGTCTTGAAGCACTTGGCCCAATCCCTGACCTCTCACTGACATCTAACTGTGCCTCAACTGAGTGAAGATGTAAACATCCATGAAACCTGTGCAGCTATGGATACTGTGGAGTATTCAAACCACGCCTTGTAAATAAGATATGCCACACACAGAGGGCATCTGTGTCTGTTTTAAACTTGTAACTTGCTCAATAGCTTGATATGAAATATATATGAATATTTTTTATTTTCATGTGAATGTATAATGTTAAATAAATGAAGTGTTTTGAAAAACTGGAGCAGACATTCTTTTATCTGACTGTTTTACTTCAACCTAAACCAATATGGATGCATCTTATTCTGCATTCTTATGCTACATCAGGAAGATCTTGGTCAACAATTGAGTATCTCCTCAAAGCAACAATGAAACATCACTGAAACGAAAGGCAGCCTCAGATGGCCAAGCTGAAACAGCACTCACAACAGAGGCACAGTTTAAAGATAGACCTTTCAGAGCTTCCCCATCACCAAGCCTTGTATTTGGATCAGTGGAGACAAAAACTTGGCCCTGAACTAAGGTCCTGAATATCCCTTGTGTGAGGACGAAGCTCCCACAGAATGTGCCAGACAACATGAGTAGGTCATTTGTTGGCCTCCCACATCTGGGACACTGCTCTCCAATGTGACAAGGATGTCAGAACAGAGGCCACAATGGGCTATAAATATTTTCACTGTGTGTGTTACTATGTGTTACATAGCCCATTCGTGTCAATAATACTTCTAAGTTAAAATCATAGCCTATGTTCAGGGTACCTGAATAATTTATGAAATATTCCATATATTTAGGCGTAATATAAACTTAACACCGTCCTTTCAGTAGCACTAGTAAGCATAGTTAGGTCTATTAATTGATGTTTATGTTCTGTGGCAGTCAGAGCGCAGCCTAAGGTTAGGTTAGGTTTTATAAGGTAAGGTCTGCGAAAATATTTGGTCTATAGGCCTACTTCCTGCTGGGAGAGGGACGATGTTAGATGTTTAAGAGGCTTTTTAGTACATAGGCCTGTATGAAACAAGGATTTGAATAGGCCTAGCTCTAGAAATGCAGGAGATGTAGGGAATACAGTTGCACTTTCTTAAATTTGTAAGTTCCTGGGATTACATTTTCTTGAGATAATTTCTACACAGGTCTAGGTCCTAGGACTAGGTTTAGAGCTAGATCTATTTCGTTGGAAATTTTAAATGCTTTTAGTCTACTTCCGGTTATCAACGCGGAAAAGACAGCCCTTTTGGCAGGTTAATTAGCCGTTCAGTTTTACTCACAAATACATTGTTCATTTCACTCAGTTAGTTTTTTCCCCTCAGAACTTAGCCTTTTGTTTAAATCTGCAGACAGCCCAGTGACGCAGGTAAGTGGACGTCGTGTGAGTGCAGATGAGCTCGAAATAATCGGGAATACCAGACAGGACGCGCGTATAGGGCACCTAATAATGGAATCTTATTCAGTGCTTCAGTGCTCATGGGGAAGCTGTTAGCAAAAGGCCCACTGCAGAAAAGTCTTGATTTATTCATGATGTAAAAATGGTGGGCTGTGTTCTGAGACATGGGGCGAGTGTCTTAAAGCACTGGCAGCTTGCATTTGCAGCTCCAGAAAAAATATGGGGCATAAGCATTCAAAGGTTTTTTTTTTTGTTTGTTTTTTTTTGTTTGCACTGTTGCCTATGTCCACTTGAGGGAGCTATTATCTGTGGCAGCAGTAGTGTAGTAGGCCTAGTAGTACACGGTATTCAGGGGCGTACAGGCAATCTGTGCGGCCGTCCGACCGTGAGGCCGATTGGGGAATATGGGGCCTGCTTGAGTGGAGCGCACCGCCCCGATTCTCTCTCTCTCTTTTTTTTTTTTTTTTTTTCGTGGGCCGATTTGGGGTGGAAAAGTACAGGACTGTTAGTCCCAGTCCGCCCCTGACTGTATTAAGACTCTCCTTATTCTGTTAGTTACTCACACAGTATCTTTCATTATAGCCCGTGTGTTTATCTCCTTTAGTCTTTGTCTTTGTCTATCTCATTGTAATGGTTAGGATCTGATGTGGTTTGGTCTGACTGGTGAGGTGTTAGCAGAACTTAAGCTCTGGGCATTGACCTTTGCTAAGAGAGTCCTGGTCTTGGCCAGTCAATAGCATTTAAATGTGTGTGTGCCGCTTCAAATGGTTCTCTCTTCTTTGAAATTTTAAGGTTAAGGTTTATTAAGCTGCAGCATTTTTAATTTATTCATTCATTCTTGCTTATTGTGAAATATTGAATTTAGCAGACCATATTTAAACCTCTAAACAAAAATAGACTTTTTTAAAGAATGAAATAATATCATTATACATAAGAAGACCATTGTTATTTTCACACATTTATTCAGAACCACTGCAACACTTCCAAATGACAATCCACCACATCAGTATTTAAATTCACATTTATATACAATATTACATAATATAATACAAGATTGTCTACTAGCATGATTTATTTATCATTTGTATTTAAAGATGGTAACAAATTCTGTTTACAATTTTACAATCAATAATTAGTGCAATTGTAATCACGCATATTTTAACATTTTAGGATTCTTTATCATTCATTATTAAGGTGCAATTTCAAGTGACTGTCTTTCAGCCTATCTTTTTAGGCATGCCAGTGACAACAAATACATTTTCAAATAAATGAAATAAAGTCCCAAATTCAGTTATCAGTAACTGTTAAGGGACTTGGAGGACACTGTGCCTCTAAGCGCTGTATGGACGAGGGTCTTTTCTGAGTTTTACCCGAGATGTCAGTGAACACCACAGAGCGGCCGTCGGGACACAGTAAAACACTGGAGTCTGCTTCACATTTGGTGGTTCTGCTGGGCCAAAGCGTCTCGTTCGGACTGGGCCTAAGAGCAATACCTCCTGCTGTGATGACGTCTCCACTGACTACCGTTGCACCTGTTTGACTCATCTTAATCAGCATGTCCAATGACTGCTTCCGACTCTCCAGTGAAGCGGACAATGCCTTTCTCTCCCTCTCTTCCTCTGCTTCGTCCTTTTTGTCCTCCAGGTCTTCCTCCTCGTCCTCTGTCTCTGTGGAGTTGCCATCTTTAAAATCTACTCGCTGCAAATCAGTCTGCTCCCTCTTGACAGACAGATCCAGGGGTCCATCACTTGGCCTCGACGTCCGCTCGAGGGCTTGGTGGATATGTGAGAGCTCACTGCGGATTTTGCTGAGATGTTCCCAGAGATGGCTCTGAGCAGGTAGGTCCTCAGTCTCCATGTGGGAAATCTTGCGCTCGGCTTCCTGGTAATCCTGCAGAGCCTTGGAAAGATCAGTGAGAAGTGCAGCCACAGATTCGGACGATCCTTTGCTTGCTGAGTGTGAACCATCCTGGAGGCCGGTTCCACCACCAGAAGAATGAGAGGAGGTTTCACTGTTTGGGCTGGTGAGAGCTTCTTTGTACCATGAGTCAATAGGCTGCGTTTCAAGCAGAGGATCCTGTAAACTTAAAGAGACAAGAATAATAGTTATTAATCATTATAACTTTTCACTTTACATGTCATGTCAAATTTATTTGTTTGGTACATTTAAAAATAATCACAATTGACCAAAGTGTTCAACATACAACAGTAAACACTAATACCCAATACACAATAAAAGAAGAAAAAAACAGACATTATTAAAACTATTCAGGGTCTTACTTTTTATGTGAGAGAAGTTTATCTGCAACCATGTTAAGGCTTGACGCTGTTTGGATATTCTTCAGAAGGTCAAAGGTGAATCCCACATTCGACTTCTTTTCGACAGGTGCCTCCAGGTTCCCTAGCGGAGCACCGGTCCTTTTCAGTCCCCACACTGCTTTCCCGTCTTTGGCTGTTATCTGCTGTTTTTCCCCCTGCACTCTGAAGCTTGGTTCAGGGGAGTTTCTTTGAGGTGACGCCCAGCCTGTGGTCTGGACTGCTGCTGTCGGGGGCCGCACCGCCGGGACTTTCCATAGATTGAGTTTTGGCTGAAAACCTGACAATACATTTGCTTCTAGGTTATTTGTTGATGTTTTAAGTGCCTTACTGGGCTCGCTCTGGCCTAGAGTGTGCTCATAGAGGAAGGGGTAGTAGAGTCGCGGTGGGATTAAAGCTCTCTCAGCTGGAGCGTGTGTGTTCGACGCAGGGTGCATCAGCTGAGCGGCCGACGCCAGGAAGGGAAGTTGGGCCAGCTGGTTCTGGGCTGTCAGACTGGTAGCTGCTGAGGGCATGGCTGAATTCATATAGGAGAAAAGGCTGGGACTGATGGGATATCCCACCCCGAGCACCGACAGATTGAGCCCAGTGGGGTCCTGTGGGTAATCCACTAAATTAGGCGGAGGAGGGTAACATGGGATTGAACTGCTCACTCGGGGTTCAGCTTTAGCTTTGGTGTGGCTAGACGCTAGTAGCCTCCACTGCTCTGAGAGAAGCCCAGGGGCGGATAGGCATGTCTTGGAGAGTTTGTAGTGTTTGAGCTGGGCTTCCACCTCCACAGAGCGCGCCCGGAGAAGCTGATCTTCTAGAGAGAGCATGTCGGCCATAAGCATATCTGACTCAGATGGTTTGGTTTTCCGGCTTTCTGTGGTATCCCCTTTGTTGTTGTTGTTTGGGTTTTCTTTGGTCACACCTGCGATTTCGCCTCCATCACTCCGACCTCCCTCCTCTTCGTCCTCGGGCTCGTGAGACTCTTTGTCTTCTGCCTCCTCCTCCTGAGTCCTCCTTTGCTTTGGTCTCCCTTCGTCCCTCCTTGTACCTTCTAAATCGTCCTTCGCGGCGTTGTGGAGGCCGTGTTGAAAGGAGCGGAGCTGGTCAGGATGCAGAATGTTTCCTTTTTTATAGGGCCAGTCAGACTCAATGAGCAGTGAGAGTGAGTTCTTACACAGACTGTACTTCATGTGGTTGTAGAGGTGAGACTTCTCCATGCAGGTGAAGGGGCACTGGAAACATTTGTAGTTATACGGTTTGCCCCAGGGACGGGGGATGTAGTGAGGCTTCTTGGGTTTTCGTTCCTTGTGCTTGCTGGCTGATGAGACCTTACAAGTGTCATCCTTAGACATCTTTGCTTCTCAGTGTTAAAATCGTACAGCTTGTAATGATAAAGACGTTTCTTTAAATAGGTGTTTGCTTAGTTGAGTTTGGAGAAAGAAAATTGCATTTTCTTTTGTACTCACAACCTGAAAAAGACAGACACAAACTTTGTTATATTATTTGAATTTTTTTTTATAAAAACTAAGAAATTAAAATTTTAAGAAAATACTTGAACAGGACTCACTTACACTAAATAAAATATCTGATGTTCTAATATAATTTGAAAACCACTGAATTTTTCATTTACATTTTTTTATTTATGTTTTTTGCAATCTGGCGAAGTCATTCCTGGTTATTATTCTAAGTGTTCTGTTTTTTAAATGAAAATAATTAAACTACATGGTTGACAGACCTTTTCAAAATTACTACAGACAAGATATTTTCCAAATGTTTCAGGTAACCATAGATTATGGACCTAACTGCAGAGAGGCACTACTCCTTTCTGACTGCACTTGCCTCGTACTTGTTTCTGTACAGTTTTAGTCGAGCCTGTTCGAGACAGGACAAACTCAGTACCTGAGTTCAGACTCTGACACCAGACCAAAGAATGTGTTGGACGGGCAAATGTAGGGTCTGAGTTGGGGGTTTAATGCTGTATTTTACTAATGAGGAAACATTGTAATGCCTAAAGGGCATCATTAGTGGCAGGACTAGGATCTGGGTCAGGACACTGTGCATAAGTTCAACTGTTCTCTGCCACTGGACTGGTAGTATGTATGCTGGATTTGATTGGTTTAATAATAATACTAATAATTCATGAATGATTAGTTTTCAGGTCCATAGCTGAAGCAAACTATTTTTCTAATGTGAAAAAGAGGATTATATATATTCTTTATTTGTCTATTTGTCATTTTTACTATAATCTATAACCTAACATTTTCGTACTTGGACCTAAGCTGTTGGGAGAGCCCTGAAATAGTTTTAAGGATTTAAGGGTTAAAAAAAAAACTGAAAAGATAAAAATTTAATTATGTAATTTAGATTATTATTCATAATACATTTTTTTAAAGTTTGAGAATTTGAGTGACTGGTGGCACGTCTTGTCTCAGGACAGCTAAGGCTCTGCAAAAGTGGCACATGAAAGCTGACGATGAAAGCCTTGGTGACTCTAACCTCGGATGGCAGGCGTTTCCCGTTTGCGTTCCCAATTGGACCCTCAGAATTGGCCCGTTAGTGGTCGCCCGTTTGATTGGCTCACTTATCTGCCCCAGGGCTCTGACCCAGGCTTAAAGCTCATAATGGGGCCTAACAGCTGCAACTACGAGTCAATCAATAAAAATCATTTTTACAGTACATTTTTCCCTCTCAGGGCTCTGGTATCTACACGCCTCTTGACTGCGAGTGTACAGTCCACCCTCCTCACTGCCCCATATCTGAACCCTGCGGTCTTGTTTTGAGCTTTTAGGGTTGATGATCAAACGAGCCAATAACCGCTTCAACATCTACTGTCACAATTAAAGAGGTGCTCGCTCTAAAAGCTTTGACAGCGTTCCACTCTACTGGACCGTACTCTATACTCAATAGTGATATCTACACTTGCAGGTCATTACTTTTACTGTGTTTAGTAGATGATTAAAGTTTAAGTCAAATAATGCAGTTAAATGATAAAGTTATCAAGATTAAGAAAATGAAGTTTTACCTCAACCAGTATTGATGACAGTTCTCCTTATGATGATGAGTTTTTAAGTTCTGTAAAAGAAAAGGGTAAATAATATGCACTAAATATTTTAAAAGAATAACGTATTTTTAATTTTTTTATGTCTGTTCATTTAATATTCTTGAAATACAGTGAGAAAAAGAACAAATTAAATATAAAATTTTAGTTAATGAAATAAATGAATAAAAAGAAATAATGCAATAAATAAATAAATTTGAAATATTTACAGATTACTTATATATACATATATATAAAATAATAACAATAAGCAAAAAGCAAAAGTTCAAATAACATATTATCATTTAATCATGCATTTATCATTGAAAGATTTCAGTGTTGTTGTTGTAATGTTGTTACCATAAACTCCAGACTAATTATTAGACTAGACTAGATTATACTTTAGTTCCATGAAAATGTATTTAAACCATTTTTAAATAAGAATCAGTCTCTTTTTTTCTGTCCATGCCAATATATTTAAATGCAAGTAACCTACCTAAGTCGCAGGGGTCCTGTGTAGCTGCGTGCTGAGGCCACGCTGACTCTGTCCCGCTCAAATGGGAGCGCAGCTCAGTGTGCGCTGGATATATACTGACTGGGAGCAGTGCCCCGAGGCACTACATACAGCAGCTCCCCCTTGCTCCCCCTGCTCCCCCTGCTCCTCGCTCCCCTCGGAATCAGGCAAATGTGCTCCTACCTTCAGCCAGGGTGCACAGAGCCTAGCACAGGTCTGAATTGACCTCCTAAAGAGTTTGGGTGAGACAAATGTCTGAGTTTGCTTATGTAACTTGGGTCACTTAGTGATTAAAGAAAAATTTAAATGCAGTAGCTAAGAGTGTTTATTTAGTTACTGATTACACATTTTTTAAATGTTTTGTTATCATCTTATTCTAAAATCTTATTCTAAATCCCATGTTTGCTTATAACATGTACTTCACATTAATGAGGCTCAAAATTATTATCTAGCCCACGCAAGGACAACTGATTACTTGTGCGTGCTTCATTGCTTTGTAGCATTTAATCACATTTTTAAAGGTACACATTTATTTAGATCCAGTTGTACAGTTCATATTTTCAGCATTTTTCCCACCAAACTCTAATTCTAATTCTTTTTTAATCTCAATAGAATTACAATATAACATTAAATCAATTATTTAATCATAAGATATCATATTTTAATAAACCATTTGCCAATACATAATGATTATCAGTTGGATATTACAAATAGGGAGGTGATCTGCTCTCTTTCTGGACCTATTTATACCATCTAGCTCAGAAACTAACCTGTATTTCCATCCCAATTCGTGCATCCCTTCTAGCCGTGCTCCCTGTGCCTGTGGCAGGCTGTGGGTCAACTCTAGGTTCCTGGGCTCCCTCCTCTGGCTGGGTGGGGAGCACACGAGTGCGCCTGCCCCTTTGAGAAATGTCAATGTCCGTGTGCTGAAGAAGTCGGGGCCCCTTCACGAACCATCAGGCCCGCTGTCACATGGAGGAGGCCAAATGGAGACTGACAGGCCACTCCATAGAGCTTAACCATCTGTACCAAATGTGACAGGAGGAAAAGAGGATGTCTGCTAAATCAGGAGTCACCACCGCACTGAGAGGGAAGTGCAGGAGGTCTCCCCACATCTCAGAGCCACATGGGAGATGATGTCAGTTTTTCTAAGAGGCTATAAGACTATTGGGACACTTGGGAGACTGTGTCAGTATCTGTGCCTGAAGTGTTTGGTGCTTAGTGAGGCCTCTTTTCAATAGGTAATCTGCTAATTAATTGTTCTACACTACAAAGTCTGGCACAGTTTATTTGTGAAGTCAATAACTTAAAAGCCCCCATCCAAATTGAGCATGTAGACAGTAGGTATTGTGGAATGCCATTTGTGTATTAGTAAAATGACTGTGTGAAGTACTTAAGAGGTGCAAATGAAGCATCTGACTGACACTGGAGCCGACATCAACCAATGGACTCCTTAAAAAGCCTCAAAGCTTATTCTTTATGTATGACGACACTTTGTTTCCATTTCCTTGTTGAACTTATCAGCTCAAACTAAAATTGCCAGAACATTTCATTCCCATATTGTAACTCTGACTGCCTTGTTTGCCTTCAGAGGAATAAGTGGAGATTAAAATGTCAGTGCATTGGCCAAGACTCAACACAGAAGTCTTGTGGAGAACAGGGAGAGTAGTGAGGGTCCTTATGGAGCAGCATCTGGGGAGGCTGACAGGAGCACTCTATTACCACTCAGAGAAAGGAACCCGAGGGGTGCAACAACACTGCTACCAGCCAGACCCAGCTGTGCTCATGCCTCCCAAGTAAAACGCAAAGACGTACTCCCTACACCATGCAAATGAAGGGAGGACACACATGCACAGAGCAAGATGGCCTATACTTTGAGACGAGAAAGATTTATGAGTTGCACAAGAATCAACTAAAGCACCTTTAACCTCAGTGTCTGCTTGTGAGTTTTAGGCCTGGGGTAGAATGGCTAACAGCTCCACTCTTAGCCTGTGCTGCTGGGCACATTAACTAAACTCATATCGCTCTCAGCCAATATCAATTATTCACCACCGCTCCACTGTTTCCCTCCTTCACCTCATTTTCAAAGAGAACAACTCCTGGAGCCACTGCAAGCTTTACAAAGACGCTTGGGCTACAAAACACCCCCATTTCTTTGGATTTCTCCAAAAGTGGATTTTACAACTTTGTTGCAGCCAAGTTCTTGATGCGCTCAGTTCTTTCTTTGGTCTTTAGTATATGTTATGGCTTTGAAATTTAAGTTGGATTGATTTCACGGTGTTCTTTTATTTGATGACGGAGAATCTACAGTGTAAAAAAGTGTGACCAATCTTTTGAGTGGTACCTGTAACTCTTTTTTTCAGCTTATACCTTCCTTTCTATCAAATGATCTAACAAAACAAATAATAAGGTCTTTTCCTGATTTGAGTGGCATATAGAAGCACAAGAGGGAACAGCGCTGGGAGCGCCAGTGAGACATTTTGAGCTTTACACTTAAATGAGCACTCACAATTACACAGATGAAGGCGAGATGAGCACTGGCCACTTTCCAAAGTGAAACTGCTGCCTCTAAAGTGAGCTGGCTGGATGTCTGAAAAGGCTAAATGTCAGAGTTCACTTCTGAATGGAATCATGACTTTTCGGAGCCTTCTCTTCAAACATCTCTGGCCTTCACTGGGCCTGCGTTTGTAGGCAAACATCACATATGTATAGGTGGCACAGTATCACTGGTGTGATGAGCTAGTGACAGAAGTATTCATTTGGAATAAGCCCCAGCTGAGGCCTATCATTCACTGTTTATC